CTCACTTGGTCGATTATGTAGACCATAAATCGGACGTAAAGCGCGAAACACATTTCGAACCGAACACTGATTTTGGTAATAAAATTCAATGATTTGCAAGCGTTGCTCGTTAGTAAGTCTATTCATGATGAAATTTCAAAGCATACTGAGCATCTTTCTCTTTGACACCATGTCTGAAATCCCACGTGATCTGTCAAATACTAATGCATGAAAATCCTAACCTCAAAAAAATCACCCGTTATGTAAGTAAACAATTTTAGCTACCATTTTTAGTCACAACGACTTTTTTTTTAGCTCTTTTTTAGCCCTTTTGACTCCCTAGTTTGACCAGGGCTTGAACCACTACACCACAGCAGCCGTCAATTCAATAAATTTCAATAAATGAAATGCATTCAAATTCACTAACGAAGAGCCATTTTCCCACAGACAAATTGCGAATGACTGCGAACGCATAGTCGAGCAGCTTTCTTAAATTTTAAAATATAGAGGTTTCTGAAATTTACCGTTATATGATAAGTGGTCATAATTTTAGTCAGATTTTAAACATTTTGGCCATCTTTGTTTTTTTGTGTCAAGTAAAATAATTATGCCGAATTTGGCAGAAATTGATAAAACGTTTACCGAGATACTTATATGTATGTTGTCATAAGTGGTCGGTGTTACGTTAATTTTCCAAAAATTTATAATCGTATTGGTAAGGAATTATTCCAAACATAAATTTTGAGTTAATTCGAAATTTACTGCTGTCAAAAAAGACTTCATTTCACTCAGCAAATTGGCAAAACTGTCTCACCATAGTAAAAATATTATTCACCAGCTTTCCCCATAGAACTTTGTTACCGATTAACATACGCCCTATATCTACCTCGATTCATTTATTAGAAACAACCTTTATGCGAACAAAGTTATTATACCAATCAGCGGTCAAAACCATTTGAGAGTATCAAAAAAAATCCGTAAGAGGAAGTATGTATTTATGTAAAAAACTAAAGTTTTTCAGTTTACTAGACAAACATGCTTATTTTCCCGTTAATTTGGTTTGCTTCTCTTTAGTTTCTTCTAATTACTGCTACTACATATTTATTTTTCTTGGTATGATCACCTTGCTCATATGCATACATATAGCCTAGAAATAACTTGGCTATTACTACAAACTCTAAACAGCCTAAGTCATCCAGATTCAATGTTTAAAATATTTTCTAAAAAAAAATTTAGCGGCACGTGCGTTTTGTGTCCACGTGTTTTTACTACGTACATATGTACATAAGTATGAGTATATTCACATGTTAGACAGACGTCATACTTATGCAAGTACGTATGCATGAGGATGTACATACTTGCGCAGCATTAGGGGTCTTCATCTAAAGTGAGAAAGGGATAAATTGCTTAAATTTATCAGATTATCCGCATTCTTTCTTGAATGCACCTTGGTAAATAGTTGCATAAAATTATTTATTATTTGCCTTATATCGATTGTGTTCATTTGCTGTTTATGTGTACGTAGCAAAAGCGACCACCTGGCAATCTGGCAGGGTTGAACTTTGCTGAAATTTATACATTTATCCACCAAAGTCGTTTGATAAACTGATAAACTTTGGTTAAATAGATTTCCATACAAAGTTTGACAATTATTTATCAAAATGATAAATTTATTATTTTATCAAGTTTATCAACAGCTTATCAGTTATGATGAAGACCCCTATTAGTTTTTTGCCTCTTCTGCACGTTTAGGATATTTTGAGTTGTGACTGTTTTAGATTTGGGGGTTTGTGGAGGAAAATTTTTCGCTCAAAATTAAATGCTCATATGCGCGGTAATGTGGATAATAATTTGTATATATGTACATTAGGGTGGTCCAAAATAAGTAAAGTCAGAATTTTAATGATCTCTCCCCTGTCAAAAACAGAATAAGTTTTAGTCATTTGTTGAGGAAAATTTGACGCTCAAAATTAAATACTCATAAGCGCGGAAATGTGGATTATAGATTGTATATACATATGTACATTAGAGTGGTTCAAAATAAGTAAAGTCGGAATTTTAATTCTCCCACCAACAAAATTTTCCATGTATTTTATATGGGGAAAGCAACTTTTCGTAGAAATGGTTTAGAATTCTTGAAAATCAATTATCTTCAGGAGGCTTCCAATAACAATACTCCATTGTTTATTTAAAAATTTTTTAGTACTAAAGATTTTTTATTTATCCCCCATTGCGGTTTTGGTGGACCTATAAAATATAGTTACTATGAAAAAGTGGTTAAATGATTAATTGAGTATTATTAATCCTATACCATTTCTACGAAAAATGTTTTTCTTCCCCATAAAATACATGGAAAACTTTGAGCGACCTCTAAATATTTTCTGATTTCAAAATAAAAAAAATAGGGGTATATTTTTTCGATATAGTACAATCCTAGGGGGAGAGAGCATACAAATTTCGACTTCACTTTTTCACATGCCTCTTTGGACCACCATAATGTACATACATATATGTCAAATGAAGCTTTATAATTGTATATGTATACATTGGTATGTAACTGAACGACTTAATGCACTTTTCGTATTTTGCTGAATAATTTCAATTAAACTTAATGGTTAACTTCTTGTTCGAATACATTAATTATTTATTTCTTATTCCGTCCATATATATTTTTGCAATAAATGTTCACGCCCACATATACATATAATCGGTATGTGAGCCACTTCCTTTTGTAGATAATTACATCACTAAGTTCAATGTAAAAGAGAGCAGGCTACACTATAATGGTGAATAAAGAGAGCCGATGAGATTGTGATTCAATTCAATATGAAAATGCTGCGATTTTTCTTTTATTTTCCGCTGAACTATTTTTGTTATTTACGTCTAAGCTGAATCAGGGACATAATTTTTAATCGGCTATTTTAGTTTTTTTTTTTTCTATTTTATCGCAAAGGGTCAAGTAAAGTAAAGGCACTACGCCAAAAAAGAAGGGCATTGCAAAAAGCAAAGAAAAGAAAAATTGGCATACATATTTTAGACGGTCGTAAGAATATAAATATGTATACCTACTACACATGAACGTAAAGACATAAAAATGTATGTACATATTTATGTATATACAAATATGAAGATTAATCCACTAGCTACTTTACCTATGCTCATGTAATTCAGTATACATATTTAAATCTCCCAATCGCTCGTACGCTCGTTTCTCGTCACAGACATTTTCTCTCGAAAAAAAATCCCTCTCACCAAGTCTTGCTGGCTTTCTAAACGATAAACCTGAAATAAATTCTATTGTTGTCGCGTTCGTTGTTGCCGGCACGAAACAGTTGGCTAGTACCGATCCACACTCATGGCTGCGTTTCTATTTGAACGATGAGTTCAGTCGTCTGCGGCGTGTGTACACGCTGCGAACAGAGCGCCAAATTCGTTGGAGGGGATATATTGCGCTTATTGGTGGCACTAAAACGGTGTGGTTGACGTAAAAATGCTACCTCTCCTTCCACCGTTAGCAACAACTGTAGCCTCACGTCGCTTTGATTACGAATGTGTGCGAATGTTCTTTCTGTTATTCGTTCAAGATTTTTTTGTCATACAACTTGAACTCGGTATTTTTGGTGTGTATATTTACATAGCGCATACACCATACTGATTGTATGCAGCACATGAGAATGAAGCAAGAAGGCATTGCAATTGCGAACTAAGGAACTTGACTTATGTATGCAGTTAAATTTAGAAAAAATCGGGAGGGTAGGTATGTACTTATGTATATACGCTGACGATGCCAATCAGTGACATTACAAGAGGTTTGAAGCTCAAAATACAATATAGCTTTTTTAAATATACAAAATCTATGCTAACAAGCTGGATGCGTGCTTATAAGATTTGAAAAGAATGTATGGGTGTTTTATACATGGTTCATTAAATTTATTAGGAATTACGTCACAAGTGAATAGAGACGTCTGTTTCAAGCATAACATTACTTCTTGTCAATTGACTAATGGCGTTTCTTTTCTACCGAAAAAATGTCGCATTCTCAGTGCCCTCTTCGCACAAATACTAAGGAAAGGGCAATTAAAAGGCTACATTTTTTGTAGAAAATAAAACGCCATAAGTCTGTAGAGGATTCCCTTAAATATCTCAATATCGTTTTCTATTATTCAGTCATACATATAAATGTATGACGAAATCGATGGTCAAACCTAGACCACGAACTCCTCTCGTTTTTGTAGTAAAAAATTTATCGGCGTACTAATTTTTCCCTCAATAAACATGCATATATATATATATATATATATATATGTGTATATAGGACTCTCTTGCATTCAAGCTCATTTTCTCAAAAGTATGCACGCTAATAAACAGTTAGCGAAAGCGACAAAGCAACAACTCATCCGACAAGCCACAAACTACTCGCGCAGGGAGAGCAACTAGAGATAGCAGGTACAACGGCGAGTCAGTAAAAATTGAAAATAATATATGTATGCAAATTGCTCTTTGGTCAATCATACTTCGACTCCAGTGGACAGAAAGCGACAGAAATAACGATTTCATTTTCATTCCGTCTGTGAATGAGACTCATTCGTCCGAAACGACGAGAAGCAAAACAATTTCTTCCTTTTTTGTGCATTTTCAATTACGCTTATTTGCGTATTATTTTCTCTAAATATCATGATGATAAAAACTTTTGTCCCATTTCCGCTCTTTCAAAGCAAATTCAGCCTTAGCGAAAATATTAAATAAAAGAATGCATATTACATTTATTTTTCTGCTTTTTTTTGCTGTAAGAAGCAAAATGCAACGAAAAATTTTATTCATCAAATTTTCCGATTATCTGCAATGAATCATCGAGCAATCAACTTATGCACTAGATTATACAAAGGCAATAAATAATTAAACTCAAAACTACATACATATACGTTTTTAATTTACATGTATATGTATGTATATAACAATTTACGAAAAGATATTTATTTGGATTCAAAATATTTGATTAAAGAAAATGAGAATCACTTCACCTCTTTTTATTTCATTTATTTAACCAAATTATGATAAAGTTGTATGGATTTTCTTGGTCATCGTTTTCAGCTTTCCCCGTAGTAGTTGCCGCAGCTATTGTTCATTGAAACGATGGGTGTGGGGTTTATTGATGCTTTCGAGTGCCAGACTACGACGATAAACACAGTTTTGCAACTTTTTGTGTTTTCAATTTTCCAAAATCTTAGAAAATTCGTTACAAATACATAAATTATCACCACTCTAAACGATAAAAAATAACAGTAATTTGGAAAAAAAATAGCGATTTATATACGCGAAAATCATATATTATTTAACCCGACGTCGCTATGTCAGCGTCAACAACGAGCGTGGTGCTTCTTCTTTTACAAATATTAGTTTTCAGCACATTAACTCATACACGCGCACATTAAATTTTCTCTCGCGCGCGCACTATTAATTCCATTCCAGAGAGTAGTCTAACTCTCCGGAACGCAACTGCTGCGGTCTCGTTTGCAGCGCCGCATTATTGAATCTTTTGATTCTGATGTATTGTGGTGGCTTTTGCACACCTTTGTGGCGGTTAACGCTTTGCACTGAGTGCAGTTCGTGCCGCGCCGCGTCTCGCAGAGCGAACAATTCGAACGCGACTTGAGGAACAGTTGATTTTTGGCTCAGCGACGAGCACGAGAAACCGTCGTCGTTTCACTGCGTAGACCTTCCGTCTTACGAGTAGAAAATTTTCTTGCCTTCACCGTCTTCCGTGAATTTTCTTTAATTTTTTGTAACGTGCTGTGCCTATATTGTTTTCATAAGAACCAAGTTCGATTTTGCTCAGAACTTAAAAATACACTATTTTAACATTTGGTGCGATATTGCGGAAAATGGCTTTGTGTTTAATTATTGATATGCAATAAAATGTTGAAAAAAAAACTGTGGAACTAAATCTCACTTTGATTAGTCATATAAGTATACATATATGTATATTCATATATTTTATACGTAATTTAGGAAAAAATGGTTCAACTGCCCTATTTTTTCGCAGTTTGGTGTAGTGTGCTTACTTTGGTGAAAATCTGAAAATCGTATTCTCGTTGGAAACGCATAAAAATTATAAATGAAAGCGAAAAGTATTTACATAAAAGTATATTTGTAACTCCGATTAAGCATTTGCTGTGTTGTTCTTGTTGTTGTAATATCGGCTGGCGTTTTAGAATGAACGTGCTTTTAACACTTTCTTTTTTTATTAGAACTAGAGTTTTTTGTTCAATTAATTAAAATATATTGTTAAATTTTAATTAGAGCGATGAGCGAGCGAGCGCACGTACGACACACAACGAGCAACGAACGACGAACGACACAGCCATCGCCGGAGTGTTGTGGCCATTTTGTACTATGCTACAACTCAGCTAACCAGGCAGGCGATTCATATTCGTTCTGTCGTTCGTTTCGATTCTGTCGCGTAGCGTAGCCGAAAAATGGAGCGGTCGTCTGCTGCTAGCTGTCACTATTGACATCCAACTACAATGGCAACACTGAAAGTGATTAAACGGCAGAACTTGTATGTACGCTATTAAAAGCAAATCTATTCGATTGGTAGGGATAAAAGCAGATATTGAAATTAGCTAATTTTTGTGGTAAAAGAAACATGATATTTTTATCTATTATAGTAAAATAGTAATGCCAACTATTGTCGTTTGAGGAAAAACTACGTGGACTGAACTTTGCGTCTATCAATTGTAACGTTTTGCCTTGGCAACACTTACTGAAGTTTTCATGTAGTAAAACGCAACTCTGCTATTTTTGACTTAATGCGGATGTTGACAGCCGATTAATGACTTTTGGCAAAACAGCTGAGAGGAACAGCCGCCAGAAACGAAAAGAAAATCATTAGGAAATGTGATTTTAATTACATCACGTGCTATACAGCATTTTTCCTTAAAATGTATGGATCTTACCATGATTTATTAGGGGTTAATATATGTTGATGTTAAAAGCACTAATGAATTTTCTGCCATTCTGATCTTGTAAAAGGGCACTTCATTGCCCTTATTGTATTAATAAAATATATACTGAGGAATACATATGACATGTGCGCTTTTGTATATGTATGTATACAAATGCACAACGATTCACATCCGAACTCAACGTAATGGTAGACAAATTTCTCGGAAACAGGATAAGGTAAAATCATTAGTCATTGATTGTAAGAGCTACTATCGTAATTAAATTGAAATATCCATAGGCTTAAAAAATCAGTTAAACTGTTCACAGTCCATGCAAAAGTAGAATATGACGAGTGTCAAAGCAAGGTAATTTTTTTGCATCGAATTTCAAACAAATTTTATTTATTGATTAAAAACTTGAATTCAAAGATAAAATAACGAGGAAATGAAAAATTGAAATGAAGTAAAATTAAAACAAATGGTGAAGAAAGAATTTTTTGTTTTTATTTATACAAAGATGCATATTATATTTTTATGGCAAACTATCTCACAAATAGCCGCTCACAGTTTTGCTTTTGCACACGTGAGGTCATAATGTATAAGGTTGGAAAGTATGTGTTGCCAAATTTATTTTGATTTATTGAAAAATCTTTCGATTTTAAAAATTCTCTTCAATTGAAGTGATATGTATCAAGCGGATTTCCATTCAAATTCATGTTTTTTCAACATCTGGTAAACGAAATAAATAAAATCAGCCTTATCATGAGTTTCATTTTCCCCGAACCGGTTCACTTTTCACTCTCGGTTTCCATGGTTTTACTATGGGCGGATGACAAATTTTCGGGTGAATTTTTTTTCGGGCATCCATTTGATTGTACACATTTTTGCATATTTAAAATAAATTGAATATTTTCGCATGCTTTCAGTAAAAGGAACATTTATGCATACATTACAGTGATTGGGTTGATTAAAAATAAACAATCGCTGGCGGCATGGCTCATTTTCTTCCATATAAAAAAACCGAGCATGGGTTTAAAGGAAAATAGGGCGAAACACCTGCAACAAAAAAGTCTCAAAAGTCAACGCGAATCTTGCGTCAATTAAAGCTTGCACTTTATTATACTGAAATTTAATGGGCTTCAAAGCTGCATCCGTGTAAAGTTTCAGAAAACTGAATAAGAAATTCAAGTATTACTGTCAATTTTTTAAAGTTTGGTTCATTTAATATACATATTTATGTATTTTATTGTTATTGTTGTTCCTGCTTTCAATAACTAAAAAAAAACTATAGCTGCATATTTTCAGTTTTAGATTATTGCATGGAAATCCACTTCCTAATCATAAAACTCGCACCAAACAAAAACTTACGAACCTTATTAAAAAAAACCTTTAATGCACACCCTACTTTGATTATTCAGAAAAATTACAGATCCTGCGACGACGAGAAGACGAGCATCCGGCCGACGTTGGTTTTGTAATGGATATACATATCTTGCACCAAGAAGGGAATACTCCTAATGATTGTAGTGCTTCTATCGGTTACGCTGCAGTTATTATGAAGACATCTGGATTTAGTCTCCCTACTCAATTAAGTTTTATATTTGTATGTATTCACTTTATTGTATGTGGTTATAAACGTAAGTGATTTTAATAAAGCGGATTTTATTTTTCAGTTAAAGCTACGTAAATTTATTTGGAATTTAAGGAGAAATTTTCACTTAAATAAGAGTTTGAAGCTGTGTTATTTACTTGGCAGTTGCTGTTCATAAAACTTTCCTTGTGCTATGATAGCTGGCTAAAGAGGCAATAATAAATGTGCATATCGAGCCCTAATCGCCAAAATAACGTAAGCGACATTTTTTTCAAAATTTTCTTTTTGATGCAGAAATGTATCTCGATGCTCTAGTAATATTTCTGCATCAAAAACAAAATTTTGAAAAATATGTCGCTTGCGTTATTTTGGCGGTTAGGGCTCGATATAATTAACACCAGACACATATTTTCCCACTTTTGTTCCCTTTGTGTAATTGAATGAACGCAAATTTAATTTTAAAACTTGATAAAAGTGTCCTTGAAAAAAAAAAACGATTCTCAATTTAGAAATTTTAACATTTTTTTTTTGTTGTTAAATACCCACAATTTTTTTGAGATTTTTTAATATTGTTGTAGCTGTTGTCATGGTGGAGTGTTGTAATGAGCCAAAAGAAGGATATATGACACTATCCTATTTGAAAATTTGTATAAGATAGCCGAATGCCAAGAAAATAGAGGAAATAAAGCCAGAAAGCTGTTTTATTATTTCACCTATTTATAATTTCACCATGGCTGTTGTTGCACGCCTGCACTAGCCTTCGATTTCTTTACTTTGTTAAGCAAGAGTCGGTATAAACCTGTTGTTTATGTGTAAAAACAAAAAGCTGAGGTTAGATGGCGACCA